GCACCCGAAGTCAGATAGGTCAGCAGACGGGAACAACCGCAGTTGCCGCGGTCCGACCAATCCACCTCAACAGCCTAAAAGGGCAAGAAACCCAGGTCGGACGGGTTAGCATCGCGCCTAAGCGCGTCCGCGAGGTCATGAGAAATGCCCGGAACATGATCTAATGGGACGGAAATGCTGAGCCGTTCTTGAAGAGCGAAGAAGGCACGGAGCACGGTGCAAAGCCCCTTAGCCATGCCCAAGCCCTTTCGCGAAGCAGGTTCGGCAGCGGAGTTGTCGGAGCGAAACACCGCATGGACCGGCAAGTGCCGCGCTCGAAGAAGCTGGTGCAGCATCAGCAGAAGGGCACATTGAGCAAGCTCCCACATGGCGATGTAAGGCTGCAACGAGCAATCGGGCGGAAGCCACGGAAATAATGCAAGCGTCTGTGCACGAGAGAAAGTCTTCTGAAAGAACAGTTGATTGGAGTCCGGAAGACGGACAAAACGGCCCATGCCCACGGACTCGGGATCGGCGCACGCATGTGCGGACGCGGTGCACTCGCATTTGGGAGACATCATCAGCGACCGGAGATCGGAACCGGAAGTGACCAAATCCAGCCACATGTTGACGACGGGGCGAGAGGAATCGGATAGCTTGCATGAGGTCCGAGAGGGGGGGCAGGACTGAACCTAAATGCGTCGGGATTCGGAGATCACCTGGAGCAGGTGTCAGCTTCAGAGGAGAGAGCAGTTTGTCCAGCCCGCAGAAGACGAGAGCGGGGTGGAAGAGCGGCAATTCCAACGGCTCCAACGGTTGGCATCAACACCATCACACAGCCGCTGCCATAGGTCCGGAGAGACGGCAGTGAGCACCGGCGTAAAGGCACGCTGGTCCGTGTAAAGAGGCACAAGCGACGGGCGGAAACACTCGAAGAGAGAAGAAAGCCAAAGCAGCTTGCCTGTGAGACGTTCCAAGTCACGGACTGGGCAGCCTGTGCTCCGACTTAACCAGCGTGACAAGGCGACTTTTGCAGTGTCCAACCGGACGGGAAAAAATGTGAAGTCCATCTGCCAACCGATCCACACAATGGTCGGAGCAAAGAAGCCCTTGTGCCAGCTCATCGGAACCCTGAGACAGAGCAGAAGCAAGACGATCACGGAAGCCCAAGCGGGGCGGACAACCGGTTAAATATCGAGAGCAGGTCGTCAACATAGATAAGACCGGAATGGCGAACACGGGCAAGGCGCTTCAATAAGCAAAGCGGCAATCCAGCGGTTCGCGCCCAATAGAAGCTAGACACCCGGGTGCCGAAATTAAGTGCGGCACACTGGAACAGACAGTCACGGTGTTTGAAGCACAACAACCCACGGTCGGAATGCCTTAGCAACGTCCAAGACAAGTGCGACGAGCTGATCGCCAGAGCTGGATAACGGAACACACCGACGGACGTCCATGAGGGACGGATTGGATGACCGATTGGGAAGGTGGGTATTGGACGTGACGCCGGAAACACAGGGTGTCTAGCATTTTATCTACCGTGCAGTGGGCGATGTGTAGCTCTCAGTGCATGGTGTAGCAGTGTCAAAGCTATAGGGCAAAGTACATCATCGTAACGTAGAAAATGTCAACTACAATAGGATCAAGGGCTCACACAGCAGTGGCACCACTCGTTTTACATTCCACAGTCTTACTGTTGGTCTTGTTTTACAGGTCTTGCTATGCTTTTGTTCTTGTCATTCTTGCTTTGTCTTTGTCGTTGTTGGTAACTGTTGGTGATGTAGCAACAGCCTCAGTAGACAAGCGACGACCAAGTCTCAAAAAAGCGGAAGACCGCGTGGAGAGTCATAGAACCAAGCGGTCGAAGATCAGAGAAAGGAACCGGAGAACAAGGGGACGAGAGGACTGGAAGGCACCAGAGGATCAGGGGACCAAAATGGACCAAGGACCATGGGACCAAACCCAACCTGGTGGGGACCCAGGACCTGTGGGCAGCGGTTTCACACAAGAAACACTTCCGGTAGGCCATCGGTGGACGGAGAGAGGGCACTATCAAACACGTGACAGCGGGTTACCGGGATTCAGGTCACCAGGATGCTGTCGAGGGTTTGCTAACACCAACGGACCTAACGAAAATGAACACCTGCTGGTAGAAGGCATTCTGCGGCTCGTACTCGAGTGCCTCAGGAGACCGTCAGCTGCCAGACGCACTGACCGCATTTGTTAGCTGGCTTGGGAATGAGGCCCAAACTGACATTAGGGCCTCCAGTGCCTCGTGCTCGCGACCCATGCCTGCAAGAAAAGGCCATGTGGAGACGACAAGTGTGTGCCAGTGTCCATCGTCGCCTTGGAGCGCAACAGACCTCGATGGCTCACACGACTCTTGTACTTCTTGCGTTGCTGCAACTCGTCGCGACCTAGTGAAGCGCTGTCTGCACTCTCAGGGCTTCGTTCTGAGAGCCCGGCTGCCAGTAGTAGCCTGCGTACTATAAACACCAAATCTTGACTTTCGAGGAGAAGTTCCGACGTCATCACAGACGGCACATTGGCTACAAACGGCTTCTTCTTTAGTTCCAGCCGGGTGACCATCAGCAGATGTTGGTTGAATGCCCGTTAGCTCATCTGCCTCAGACCAAGGGCAAAACCTGGAAGTCTCGCGCCATGCTTTTTCACAAATGCCAGAGTCTTGGAACCAACCTGGCTTAAGTTCAACAGTGACGCCCGCTGCAGCTGGGATCGCAGCATCAGACAGAGCTTCCACATACTGTTGCAGCTGCGCATGGGCCTTGTGCAGCGAGCGTCCACGGAATGGTGCTCAAGGGAACCGGATCGCTGGGGCAGGCACGCTTGCCCTCAAACACAACAACCCAGACCTCAAAATAGGTCGTCTGTTTGCAACATGTATCTAAAACCGGCGCATATACCTGAGGGCAAGGAAGCGAAAACACAACAAAGGTCCACACAGTGTAGTTACAGTCTCATCCGGCACGAAAACTTTGTCGCTGCCGCCCTGGAGCACAGGATTGTAAAGTCTTGCTGGCTATGCTGGCCCCCACAGCTAGCTGGGGGGCATGCTGGTCGCCAGACTGCTGCTGGAACCTAGAGTATAATGTACAGATGCGTAGAATGTTTACTCTTCAGCAGATGTAAGAGGAACCACATTTTGTGTGTATTGCTTTTGATTTTTGTGCCTTTGGTGGCCGGATCAGGCAGAAACTGCAGAGTCACAGGAATGGGGCTTCTTTCCAAGCTGGAGCTGCTTTTGTTTGTGATTTCTTGGCCTGGGCTTGACCAATCATATCCGAGTGTGCCACGCTCAATAAAGTGAAACTTTTGCCGAGCTGGAATTGTGGCGCCTGCCTGCGTGACGGGCTACCGACTGACTCACTGCCTCACTGTTGGTTTGAAAATCCAAGGTAAGGGGCTCACAGCAAAGCCCCAAGCAATGCACTAAATAATACGAAAAAGGAAAGAACCTCCACCCGATTTAAGATCCTCTCTGCTTTTCAGCTGCCAAGGCGCGGGAGCAAGCGACGAGCTGCTTGCTCTTGAAGCTGCGCCTTAGCTGTGGTCACGACGTGTCCGAAAACGCTCCGAATAACTCCGAGCCAGATGCAAGGCTCAGCCAACCTAGGGCCACAGGGGTGTCAAACGACATGATGCAATCTGACAATTGCAAAAGCGACGGGTGCCCGACACAGGGCCAAGACACAGCCTTTGCGTGGCGCATGATGCAAGTGACTTGCGCAAGCAGCAGGACTAAGGCTGGAGGGAAAGCCTTTTCAAATCCGGACTCCCAACCGGGCACATCCCCATGCAATCAAATGCCGCGGCCAAGCATTTCCAAGATGGTTTGAGTTTGATGCATGGGCAGCCATCGTCTGAGACGCGGGCTCGCCCCACAACAAGTCAAGGCCCTCGGTGCAAAATTCCAAGGCCTGGCCAGAGATTACAAAAACCATCGCGCAAGTGGTAGGCTGTGCGATGAGGTGCATTTCAGACTTGTTCACCAAGGTGGCCTGACGAAGTCTTTCGCTGTCTGCTGCCAAGCGGGCACATGTCAGCAACTGTTCAGGGCTTCTCCTGGCAGAGCGCATGGCCTGGCATCTGGCCAGCAAAGCCCACATTCCCCGCCCGAAATTCTGAGGCTAGAGCTCTGCATCGTCCACTGGCACTGATCCGTTGCAGCTGGAACTTGCAGAGCCTCGTTTACCAGCTTGCCACATCCCGTGCGAATCTGCGGCTGTTGACATGAAGTTACAAGCTCCAAGCCACCATGCGTGACATTTGGCTCGAAAGGCCTTATGCACAGTTGAATACCAACCCTGGGTCATGAATGATGTCATAAACTCGCAAAGAGACAGGGGCATCCACAAAGCGGTTTGTTTGACTGTGCCAGGCATTGCATTCAATGCAAGGCAGTCTGTGCTGTGACTCGATCACGGCACAAGGCAGGGTACAGTACTCCTGGTCATTAAATTACACAGATACTGCAAGGTATCAAGAAACAAGTATTGCACAGCCAGCGCTATGATGACATCGACATGAATCAAAAAGAGGCAGCAGGACTGGGCGATGTCAGTGCTGTTGAACATTACTGCAGGTGCAAGCAGGGTTGTGTCATCAGGCTGTGCCAGCACTGCAGTGACATTTGACTGCGGGATAAGACAGGTAGCATGCAAAGTTGACGCGTTTATGCGTGAAAGTCATTCGTGCAAACCAGGCTGTCCAAACTGGCCCGGGATAAACATGCCCATATGCCAAATGCCCCATTTCACAGCACTCTAGGTTGGAACCACTTGCTTTGCAGCATTCACCACCAAACTGCTCCTGGCCTCTCAAGTGAGCTTGGCATGCTGGATGAGCTGGCCGTCTTGGCCAAGATTATGCCAGCAGGACGGCAGGCAACAAGAATTTTCTCGAAGCAGCAAAACGTGCAGCAGCGGCACATTGTCAAGGAGAGAAGATCCTTTGGACCAATTGCGGAAAATGCATCCTGAAACTGTCCACGGGCAAGCATTTCACTGGCACCGAGGTGTGGGATAGATCTTCAGGTTTTCAGGTCTGATCTTGGCAATCTGGTTGACACCGAAGTTGTCCTGAACACAGGCTGCCAGTGGTACAGTCACTTCAAAATATCATGACATGGCACGGACCGCAGCTCGAGTTCCGTCCGTCATGGGCAACTGCACGTTGTAGCGGTTGGTCTCTGAGTCATAGGAATCGATGATGACACTCATGCCGTTAAAGCTCGGACACGTCATCAGACCATCGATCATGACGGCAGCACCTGCTGGCAGGACCTGCGGCACCCTGGCAAAGGACATGTGTGGCGTACACACGGGCGCCGTGCTAAGCACCGGAGATGCAGACGGACCGGAGTCCACTGGAGGAGTTGCGGCATTCTGCGGCTGTGTGCTCAGAAAGCCCGGCGTCACGGGAGCAATTGGCATGTTTCTTGCTGAGCTCTGGTCTAACATCCATGGATTGGAACGGACCAGATTTTCATCAAGCAGCCCAACCCCCTCGACATGGAAAAAGGAGCCGGAGACCTTCATCTGTGCTTCTGTCTGCACGTTCGCAGGAAGGCCGCGCTCCTCTCGAGGCTTGTCCTGAACCTTAATCTGGTTACTCGATCGTCCACGGCCCGTGGGAGCGTCTTCTTGCGCATCAGCATTATCCACTGTCACAGCCGAAAACTGGGTCTCTTCATCCCGTCCTGCAGCTTCTTCGTCAGCACTGCCTAGCACGTGGCATTCACATGAAGCACCGCATCCTATCCAGTCAAGAAGAGCATGTTTGCTTGCTCCTGCCTCGGATGCTGTGACGAACTTCAATCTCTCTGGCTAGGCGTTCTGCCTTCTTGCGTGCATGGGCCGGCACTTTGGCGACATCGATGATGGTGGAATACTGAGAGAGGTCTTCCTGAAAGCACAGGCATAAACCTTCGAGCACAATTCAAGACAAGACAGCCATGGCAGGAGCGGCAGTGAAAGAGGCCTTGAAGGTTGAGACGTAACCGAAAAGCTCTGCATTTGCTTTGAACTGGTCCCAGTGACCTCAACAACAATTGGCGAGGCAACAGCGTCAGCAAAAACAACATAACAGAAGCAGCCATGCTTGCCGAGGAGCTATCACTGTTATGAGTTGGAACAAGCTCCTGGAATGCAGAGAACCACCAAAATCAGCTTGACATCGCTTGACTGAGGAAAAATAATTCTGCGCTTTGCATTTGCACGCACGCTCCTCCAAGGCGCCATCGCAATTACTAGGTGCAGCCCAACGCTGAAGTTCTCTTTCCTGCCCACCGTGCACAGAGAGAGAGAGAGAGA